TTTACAAATGCAGAACACAGAAAATTGGAGAATATAAATACGATATAATAAATAATAAAAATAGTCAATATGTGATGACAGAAACTACAGACTTACAGCATGACATGTTGAATAATATTCCATGTACAAGAGTAATGGGAGCGACACATTGCACCTTTTCACTCTTTAACCTCTATACAACATCTCAGCGCCAGAATTTGAGAGCATTTAGAACACGTTTCTCGCAGTACGCTATTGGAGTTACCAAGCCCTTAAAGCTCAAGAATGGTACGAACAATATGACTTATTCTTCCCGAAGGTACTTAGTGATGAGTGTGATGCTGCATTGTAGGCACGTGAGAAACTTACCTGAACAAAAATTTCATAATACAAAATAGTTTTTAGTTAAAATGGCCAATGTTAATATGAGAATTGTTATTAATAAAATTGTAATATTAATGTAACGGCTTTGCGGGAATCTTCGATGCTTGATTTCCTGACTTTGCTTATAAATAATACAGTTAAACAATGTTTTATTCCTCAACAGTAGCGTGATTGACCAGAACAGACTATAATTTAATTTAATTTAAAACAAGAATGTAGCCTGTTTAAAACTAATATTCAAATTGGCCTCTTAATAATAAAATTTACATCTCTGCGGCTTTTAAACGAGTTATTATTTGTTTTTATTGTTATAGAAGACGGGTATTTTTGTAATTACGGTTTTTTTGTAACACTTGCATTATGCTAATTAGCTTTAATCATTATGATAATAATAATGATAATGCTTGCGCATTATGTCTCACTAAATTCTGTGTGCATTCAATACCAATACCGTCCATAGTATCACTGCTCTATCTCGGGTTTTTGTCGCACACAGTTAAACGGCTGCAACAGCAAACAAGTTTAAAACGCCATCTTTGTTTCTACGCACAATTATTTGATAACAACGCCAGTAATGCCAGAGAGCGAATAGTATTCTTTTGATATTCTGTTAGAAGACTGGGCAGTAAAGTTATGCTAATAAAAGCGACGATGTTTGGTCATCTTTACTGTAATGTTGTTGTTAGGAACATTTGCACTAAATGGTAAATAGTAACTATTTAATCATATATCTTTCAATAAACCGAATTACAAACATGTACTTTGCATAACTAAACAACTTTGTACATGTTTTATTTCTTGTGGCAACAAATCAATTTTTCAGTTTTGTTTTCCTCTAGAGCATAACTCGCTTATTTGTCAATGCTTACCAGAAAGTGCGAGGTTGCATGCTTTTTCAGAATTATTTACTGCAACCGCGCTGGTTCAATAACAACGTAAAGGCTTCAGCAACGTGGCTTTTCAAATTTGTTGAAATAAGATGTGGAGTTCATTGACTTGGCAGAATGAGACGAAGCAAGTATTATAGAAGATGTCCTTGCTTCGACTTTGTAAATTTGTTACCAAGCTTCTATCTATAAGTTATGTTCTTTATTAGGCATGCCCTAAAGTGGACCTCTAAAGTTGCTTAGCTTCTATCTACAAATGTAATATCCGGTTCCGATAAAACGTCTTCGCATAACTAGTAATAGCGCTACTACGTGTGTGTCTCAGGTTTCATTCCTATCCTAAACAAATTGGGCTAACACATCTAATCTAATTGCGGTGACATAAGTAATATGTCTCAGAATAATGCCCTGAAAATGAAAGTTTAACGACGTACAGATCAACGGAATGAACACCCCAGGTTGAGCGTCAAATTTTGATTTATTCTCTAACATTCGAAGTTCTATATACATAGTGAAACTCGATAAGTCGGACACGGTGGGGCGGGCAGGGCTGTCTGACTTATCAAGGAATCCGACTTATCGAAATGATTTTAATATGAAAAAAAAAGAAAAGTGCAGAGGGATTTGTCCGACTTATCGAGTTTTCCGACTTATCGAGTGTCCGACTTATCGAGTACTGTATTGCGTTAATCAACAACCATTTGCAGCCAATAGAGATATGTACAGTATCTACTACGGTTCGGGTCGGGCCGCTTAACTGCCTAAATTGACGATTACACGAGTCATGTGATCGAACGGTATGTGCATCTACATGTTTCTATTTTAACCGTTTTTTGACTGAATTTGAGTTGGTATTCGTTAGAATGTAGATAAGGTAGATAAGCAGTATGTGTGGTATGTAACATGTGTTGTGATGTGTGATATGTAATATGTGTGATGTGTTATACAGTATATGCCAATGAAAGGATTTAGAATAGTAAAAGGATAGGGGCGATTTAGGATGGACATTGGACACAGCAGTCAGAAAAATACTTTTGCCTGCGTTTGGAAGATCAACTAATCCAGCATCAGCAATAGTCTTGAATTCAAGTGTAAGATATCGCACTTGTCCTTCCTGATTACGAGTATCAAAAAGTGTGGGTTGCCTTTACCGCCTACCCCTCCTTTCGCTACGATATGTTGCTCAGCCGGAGTAGACAAATCCAGAAACAACGCTTCTTTCTCCCTTAAATGTCGATGTTGTCTTACTAAAGTGAAGAAGAAATGATAGGTGGTTGACTGCGTCGAATATGCATCAACAATGTGCTGTATTGTTAATTGTATGTTATTGTAAATCATTATTTAAATGTGTTACCTCTATGCAAATTGTGTAACAAATTCAGCCGGACAACCGATCAATCATTTTACTATACGTTCGCTGTAGTGATCTCTTTGGCGGCAATATACAAGACTATATATCAATGTCGCAAGGTTAGAAAAGGATAGCGAAGTCTGTTATCTCAAATCATTATGTAGTACTTTTAACAGCGTAGGTTGTATTAGCGCCGTTCATGCGTGCATCATACAGTCACACAACACGCAAAATCCCCGGTAATCAAAGTAACACACTAGTATAAATAGCACACTACGTTTTGCACTTGACTGGAGACAAAAGTGTATCTTACTCTACTCAACTTATCTCGTCTTTCCCCGACTAACGCACGCATAGAGATACACACACGCATAGAGATACACACGCACACACACAGACTTACAACAAAACGCTATACATATTCATAAAAAACAACCACTTCTCAAAACACTATCAATATACTTCAAAAACAACTACCGCTCAAAACGCAGTATTTACTTTAGAACTGCTTATCATAGACGATGTCTCCTCAGTGGACCGCCGACGTAAGCGAGATATAATACCTATCTATTTTTATGTATACTGGTTTCCCTTGACTTATCCATTACATAAACTTTTCAGGAAGATAACTTGCTAAGACTTTTAGCTGCACAGTGCGACGAGGATTGGTTTCTCGTCGCAAGAAGGCTATATGATGCCACCAATACAAGAAGAACGGCGAAACAATGTCGAGATCGGTAAGTAGCGGCACTCTATGGTACATTGCACAGTATGTTTCTGGGGCGAGAGTATGCTGGTACTAAATAACTATTTACTGGGTTTTTTTTCTAGTTTTCAGAGAATCTAAGCCGGTTTGATTAATAGAGAGGTGTCGAAGTTGTCACAGACGGACATTAGCCGACTTTCACTTACTCCTTTTTTAATTTCTATCTACATCTTCTTTATCTTTTTTTCTTTCTATCTCTCTCATTGTCTCCCTCTCCTCTCCTCTCCTCTCATATTCCTCTATGTCTTTCTTTTCCTAATATTTTACGCAAATTATCGTCTCCCCAAACGTAGATATCATGTGTATAAATTATCAATATTAATAAATATCTAGCATCTATACATCTATTCCAATACTTTCAAAAGCCTGTAACAAGTTGTGGGATTGTGATGTAAAGTTTCGTCTACGCATCGATAGTACCTTAAGGGAAGCCGTTCATTTCCCCATCGACAATCATTTCTGTAACAGTTCATTTCCCTCACAACACCTCACGACAATCATTTCTCGAAGTTATCTTTTGTCGATAGTTGATTTAGGCAAAATAAATCTGATGGCGAAGTAAGCATTTGAAAATATTGACGTGATCGATCGTTACGGTTTTGGCAAGTTTACAGATTATAAATAATAAACAGTGACGAACAATTTTTGATAAAAAATTGCTATCAAAATATTTCCCGAAAAATAATTATCAGAGAGAGAAAATAAACTGTCAAAGAAAGGACTGTCGAGAAATGATTGCAGAGAAAAAAAACTATCGGAAATGAGAAAAGAAATACCTACGTCATGCGTTAGCGATTAAATAGGTGTTTACGAAAACCGTTATTTGGTGCAATACTTACATTAAATGCTTCTGTAATCGAATCTTATAGATGCTTTAAATGGAACGCATGTTAAAATGCAAGTGGTTTGTTAATCGTCAGTTCTGTGAATGAAAAACATGAACGCAGACATACAATAATTGCCATCATTTGTACTGGTTAATCGTTTCGCCAAACATGACAAACTTTACGCAGACTCTTGATTAATATGACAATATAATGCCGCAAACAAGTTATTTTCGAATACCTATGCCGTCATCTTATTTCAAAGATAATAGCAGTAGCATTATGCACCGACAACTGTTCTCACTTACGTAATTTTGCAAATTTCCCGTTTGACCGTGATAGAATAAAAATTTACAAAGTTAGAAATGGTGTAGTTTAGAATCAAATGCATAAAATACACACTTACTAACGGTATTACGTAAGGTAAACGCTGATAATGAGTAAAAAAAGTCTGCCGGGAGTGCCTACGGAACAAAATCAACGATCAATTGACGGGCATACTTTCTATATTTATTAATAGCTTTGATAGACAGAGACTTGCTGTCTCTCATGAAAGAACCAATAGTTTCAATATTATGGTAGTAAATAAAGGATCTCCCCGACAATCATTTCCTCGACAGTCGTTCATTTACATGCACATTCAATACTGACGTTTGAATAACCGCATGTACGTTGTAGAGGAAATGATTGTCGGAGAATACATTTAACTCTGCGATAACTTAATGCTTACCTTATACTTACAGGAGACTAGTCGTGTGCAGATAATCTGCGAGAAACGAGCGTAATATTAAGCCGCGAATTTCCGTTGATTTACGACGAAAAACCCGAAAGAAAAAAAAACATTACAACTAATTCAAGAAATCTGGAAAAATAAACAATAAAGAGTTATGACTTTCTCACCAACAAGTCTCTTTTTTCAGTAACTATCAAACAATTATCTGTAGAATTAGCCAATAGAAATTGCTCTACAAATGTAATAAAGACGGTACATGAGAACGTCATTCACGAACCTTCCTTTCCAGGAATTTTGTCAACCGTTGTCTTCTACACGTTTTTCAGTCAATATTCTCAATGCCTCTTTTGCCTTTCGTTCGCAATTCTTCTTTAGCGGTTATACTTTGTTCACTTGTGTCTGTTTGTCACGGGATTCCAAATATTTGATGACGTATATCGTGCTACCATAACAGAGTTAAAGTAAAAGGTTTTATAATCGGGCGCTTAAAAACACTGCAAATCAGAATCTCAAACTTTACTTTACCCCACGCCAAAGCACATTACATCCAGGTAATATAACACATGTTTAGCCATAATGCAGTATATTTAGATGACGAATACAATAGCGGCAAAGTCTAACATGTATGTTTACGGATATATCCAAACTTTGCCTTACACTCTTGGCATTGAGCAATGAAGACACTTATTTTAGAGCTTAGAACTGAGTTAGCGTACTGTCGACCATTATACGGGGTAGCCGTTAGGCGATATGTTAATGACTGCTGGAAACGTTAATTTCTTTAATTGTTGAGTAGACATCTTTTCTATCAATATGTCTTTGACGGTACAATTACTTATGAAAGGGACGACCGTATATACCTTGCAATCTGCAGGTAATATATACATTTTTGGTGCAACACGCCATGCAAACTAATTACATTTGCGTAGCGATGATAGCCATCAGGATCCAACATCTTGCCCCAGGGCCTCTTCTTTGCCCTAAATGTACGATATAAACTAGTTACACGTTCGTTTATTTATGAAACTCTTTGATAACATTATGCTATTTTTAATTCGCTGTGTACGCCTTGGAAACGAGAAAACTTTTAGTGCGACAAAGTTCACATTTACTACATAATACTTTGTTGGATATAAACTCTAGCAATTTTTAATCATTGCAGAATGTCGAACAGTAGAGGGTAGTGGGGTAATAAACAAGGGCTCGAGTTTTAGGCTAGTGCTGTAGTGGTGTGATGATGAATATGCGGTGTAACTATTTACGTTGTGCTCTGCCCCTGTCGATGAAGCTTTGTTTCTTTGAATACTGATCCGCATTGTGCATTATCGTGCTCTATTTTTAAAAGCTGATCTTCATCAATACAAAATAAGCACTTAATTGTAAGGCCTGCCTTAAATGTTAAGACAAAGTGAACATATTTTTAAGATCCTGAAATACGAAAAAAAAAGGGCGTTTACATAATCACTTTGCTCTGCAAAAGCAAAATCGATTGATTTCACGGTTTACGCTCCGACAGTCTGTTCACAACTCTTCAGTCAAGCTCTCTCACATTCCTCACGGCCAGCTCTGTTCGTTTTAGTTTTGCTTTAGCTTCCGAACTCCGGCAACTCCGGCAACTCCGCAACTCCGCAACTCCGATGGTGTCACAAGGCATGTTCGGCATCAAGATTGCATAATCTATGATAATAATCACGTGTTCTAAAAAATGAAAAATTTAAATATATAAGAAGCGCGACTTTTCTGATAGAATTCATCATGTTCACATCGTGTTTGCATCATGTTTACACATGTTCGATTAGTAACATTCTGAAATACATTATTTATGATTCTTCGTATATTAATTAGGAATACCCGTTTCTTATCCGCGGATATTTCTATTGTAATTCGCTAAGTGAAACACCATGGCCGACACAGTCTTTATCGGTTAAACCAATCACGGAAATGTTGGGTTATCTGAAAACTGTTTGTTTTGTTTTTGTTTTTTTATTTTTTTTAAAAGGCTTATTATGTACAAAGGTTTGGATTTTAGATCAAGTATACCGTAACCTATAGGTTTTCCATCGAAAAGAAAATAGTTGATTAACTCGAGGACGAATAACCGTCAATGTTTAACGTCCAATCGACACAGAATTTTGAGTAGTTTAAAGATTACTGACTGTCGTTACAGCCACAGCTCCGTTTGAAACATAGTTACTGTAATTCCAAAGTTGACAATCGGTTCTTCTCCTATAATTGTTGACTCGACAATGGTCAGTTGTACGTTTTACGCTATTTGTCGAACAGGATTGAAGTAATCGCTAATGACAAGTTGATGATATCTTTACTTTGTTAGTAATCTCCAATAAATAAAAAACTTTTCTCTTTTTTAAACAATATTGCGCTTTGCGGTTTGGTTACTCATCATGCTCCGTTGATGACGGACGATATATAAATAATTAATTAATAAGCCAAACCAATACTGCGTAACAAAACTATTGTTAAGACATGTAGTGGATACATGCTAAATTCATGGCATAAACAATATACAATGAAGAGTTTTAGAAATATCGTTAGATTACGTAGAGAAAATATAGCATGCTCCATTAGATGCATAAAAGTCACGTTTATGCCGTTCTTTATTTTTACACGTACTTGAAGGATAATGTTAAAATTTAACTTTAAAAGCGGTGGGCGTATTTGTAGTAAGAATATATCATGAAACAAGCTTAAGACAACCTTTAAAACAATTTAATTATTGTTGGTTACAAGTTAATAATATAAACTAGCACTTTATGACAATATATTTAACTATAGCTTATAATATTCTAGGAGCTTACCTCTTTACTTCAATAAAATTTTTTACCAAGACTTTTATGCCAATTACCACTTGTTTTTATCAAATTGCATTTTAAATTATTGTAGCATTGATATGAAACCAACCTATTGGTAAACTTTAAAAAATATAGTAATAGTAATAGTAATAGTAAAACTTTAAAAAAAGGTACTATTAGATTGGTACAGTATAGAATGCGTGCGTATGTTGCACGTGCAACATATATAGTTATTACATTTTTACCCAAATCATCAGCTGAGTTGTTTGTTGACCGGTAACATGTTTAATAAAGTAAAAGTTATAATGCAAATCTAAGCATTAGCTTGTTATGTTTATTTAATTTACAATAAAATTATTCTTATTTCTAACAAACTTAATTTTAACGAGCACAAGTTAACCGCTAAGCAAAATTTCGTTCGGCTTCTAATAACATTATTTCGAAAAAAAAAGAATTGAGCCATTTCCTTACAACGTGCCAGCTTTGACAATTATGCGAGCGTAATGAAATATAATCATAAATCTGCAGTGTTGGGCAATTGCTCAACTACACGCAATATTATTTGAGTACCGTTCGCATTTGCTATGAACAAAATTTTCTTCATTTCTAAACGAGACGTGTTTTCTTAAGCTAGTTATAGTTTGTAGTTTTCTGACTCTGTACTACAGTCGACCTCCCATACAGTCACACTGTTGGGAATGACCAAAACCAGTGACTCTAAGGA